AATTTCCTCAACGGCCAGCAACCCAACCAGCAGTCTTACAACCAGCCCGGAGCTGCCTTTGCGAACCAGAACCAAGCCGGCTTCCTCGACCCCAACACCTTCCCCTCCGGCGACTTCGCCCTGTTTCCCAACGCTGGCCAGAACGACCAGCAGTTTACCACCGGTGTCTTCGACCAGAGCCTCAACCCCGGTGACATGAACAACATGGCTATGCCGCAGAGCCACCACTCTCCTACACCTCCCCACCTCCTCAACCCGGACCCCCACCAGACTCCCTCCGCACACCAGTCCCCGGCCTTCAACCAGCACCAGTTCTCTTCGCCGCCCTCGGGCGCGGGTCACTCCAGACATGCCTCCCTTGGTCCCGAGGCCGCTCTCCTGCCGAACCAACTGAATGAATGGAGCCAGCCTCAGTTTCGAGGCCACCGGAGATCCCCGTCCGAGTACTCGGACGTCTCTTCCGCTGCACCGTCTCCGAACTTGGTGAGCGCCGACAGCTTTGATGGAATCGACCAGAGTCATTCGCCCATGCAGCGACCCCAAGATGCCGGTCTCTACCAGCAAATTCAGGGTTTCGACAACTTCACGATCTCGGACCCCGCCCTGGGCAGTCCTAACCTTCAAGGGCGAAGCCCCTCCCATAGCCCGGCCATCTCCCCGCGCATCCTCCCTCAGTCGATGCCCGAGCTGAACCAACCAACCAACTTTGGCCTGCAAGCACAGAATGCCGGCTTCGTCAGTGGTACTGGCTACACCGGGCAAGAAGCGTTCCCGACTCTGCAACAGCCGGAGATGCCCCAGGCACCGGCCATCAACATCGAGTTCGCGCCCACGGCAAGACAAAACAACTTCGAACAGCCCAAGAACCAGATGGATCAAGATTCCCTCACGCCGCCAGAGCGAGGTAAGGCACCGTGATGGTATCAAAGTTGACACGTCGGGACTAACAGTACCAATAGGCCGCCCGCGATCCAGACCCCGCGCAGTGACAGATCCCTTCAACAGCTCCGGAGGAGGTATGGTGCGGCAAACCTCTGCCGGCAGCTTGTCGCCTCATCTAGGATCTGATCTTTCCGGCCGAGACTCATCACGATCGCTCTCCCCGCTCGATCGAGGAGCTGTAAGCCCTAGTCGCAGACGACAATCTACCTCAGCCGTGCCGAACAACGTCATCGCGCTTAGACTGGCGGATCCTGAATATCAAAATGCCCAGGACAACGGAAACTCGAAACGTGTTCAGAAGCACCCGGCAACATTCCAGTGCACCCTGTGCCCCAAGCGCTTCACTAGAGCCTACAACCTCCGGTCTCACTTGCGAACGCATACAGATGAGCGTCCCTTCGTCTGCACAGTTTGTGGCAAGGCGTTCGCGAGACAGCACGACCGCAAGAGACACGAGGGTCTGCATTCTGGAGAAAAGAAGTTTGTATGCAAGGGAGACCTCAAGGCTGGTGGTCAGTGGGGCTGTGGTCGCAGGTTCGCGCGTGCCGACGCGCTTGGCCGACACTTCCGATCAGAGGCGGGTAGAATCTGCATTAAGCCCTTGTTGGACGAAGAAATGCTCGACCGACAGCGCGCGTGGCAAGAGCAGCGGATGCAGCAACAAAACATGCAAAATATGGCGGCCGGTATGGGCATGGAGCCAGGTTATCCGATGGACGCCGGTGGGCAGTACATGCTGCCGGCTGCTCTGTTGGCCCAGTACCCGGCGCTGGCCCAGATGAACTGGTCCGCGCAAGACGCGAGCAGCGGTCTCGAAGACGACATATCGGGCCGTTCGTCATTCGATGCCAGTGACTACGAAGGCGACGACGGTGGGTATGTCAGTGGACCGGGTACAGGTTTCGGAGAGGGCGGCATGGGTCAAAATTTTGGTGAAGTCGGATATGCCAGTGATTATGGTGGTCGGTAACAGGGTGATTTAAGTTCACTTGCCATTTTCTTTGTTTTTATGTCTTCTTTGCGGCCAATTGCCTGCGACACGGTTTATTCTTCACTTATTCTCTGGGGATGTGGCGCTTCATGAACAAGCGGATGTACGGGAACAGCGTTAGCAGCGCCCTCAGAGGACGTTGCGCGGATGGTCTGGTTACAGGATTTAGAACGCGTTGTTATAGATACCATTATGACGAAACCTTTTTTACATTTATACATGCTGGCGCCAATACCCTCATCTGATGAAAGCAAGTGCGGCATGGGATTGTGCCCCTCCGAGGGGCGATAACTGGATGGAGGGGTGATTATCGGCGATAAGATTGTTGTCACTGCATCGCGGGGTCGGCTGTGGCGTACCCCTCACTCTGACTTGACCGCCAAACAATAGTACGTATTGCCACGGAGGCTGGCATTCCCAAGGTGGTGGATAGATCGCAGAAAGCATCCGGTTCCAATGGATGCGATGGATCGTATCCGGCGCCGGAATCTGATAAGAGTGAGCACCCGGGGGTTACCGTCGTTCGTTGTCCGCAAGGTAAAGTACCTATGTAAGCAGCACAGGGCACCGTTACGCCGCGGCGCCGAGAAAGAGGAGACCTACGGATACCTACGGACGGCCCAAGCTCCGGGCCTCGAATTTCTAGCGAAAAGTCCGGGGTATTACATAGCTTTCCCAAGTCGCCGCGGGCTCTTCGGCTTCCCACCACCCACCAACCAACCACCTTTAGGAATTAGAGACTCGGGAACAGGAAACATCCGCGATTTACCAAGGAAGATCTGGGTGCATCGCGCGCCCGCGTTACCAAGGACAGTGTCTGTTCCGCGGGTTACTTACTTGAGTACCTATGCTGAGAAGTGCGGGGCAAAAGGCAAAAATCGATGATGCCGGTGGGAATAACACACACGTACATCTCGAGCTAGTGTGGATAACATGGTTCCGTTCACCACCGCATTGGCTTGGCTGGGACATGGACCCCTACCTTTACGTTGCTGTCTTGGTCTCCTTGACAGACCTTGGGTAGCTACGCAAGCATTTGTAAGCTGGGGGGGAGGCCCGGCTTGACGATGGGCAAGGAGGGGTTATCGGTATCGGGGCAGAGGAGCTTTTTTTCCCCCTGACGACGCAAATGCCGACTGGATTGTTACTTAAAGGGGCTTGTTGATCTAGAGCTTTTGCGATTGAATTGGGTTTTTTGGATACCAAACTAGATACCCCCTCCAAATAACAACACTTTACAACTTTCACACCCACACAGCTATCAACACAGAGGTAAGTAGGCAGCGATTCGCTTTCCACACGACACTTTGACAGAGACCAATACTGACACATCCGCACTCCAGATACCTACCTGCCCAGACGACACACGCACACAATGGCGACGAACCAAGCAGTAAAGACAATCGAAGCGGGCGTCGCAAGGGTAGTCGACGCTCCGATCCCCACCCTCCCGGCCGACGACTACATCCTCGTCAAGACGACGGCCGTGGCGATCAACCCGACGGATTGGAAGCACGTCGACCTCGCCGACAAGGCGGGCTGCGTCGGCATCTGGGTCGGGTGCGACTACGCTGGTGTTGTCGAGGAGGTGGGCAAGGGCGTGACGAAGGACTTCAAGAAGGGGGATCGGATCTGCGGGCCTGTGAATGGATCGTGAGCTTTTTTTTTTTCTTTTTTTTTTTCTCGGCCTGGCTTTCCTTGAAAGAAAGGGAGGGAGAGAGACGGAGGGAGGCTGACGTTGGAGCGCCACAGCAACGCTCTGAGAGAGATTGACGGTGCGTTCGCAAAGTACATCGCCGTCAAGGGCGACGTGCAGATCAAGACGCCGGAGAACATCTCGGACGAAGAGGCCGCGACGCTCGGCATCGCCGTCACCACAGTCGTATGTCCACTTCATCTACCACCCCCCCCCTCCCCATTACAGCCGACTTCTTCGTCTTGGACAACCTTTGCTAACCACGTACCGAAAACACAAAACAGGGCCAGGGCCTCTACCAAGGCCTCAACCTCCCCCTCCCGACCGAGCCCACGACCGCCACGCCGGCCCCCACGATCCTCATCTACGGCGGCAGCACGGCGATGGGCATCTCGGGCATCCAGTACGCCAAGCTCTCCGGCTACCGCGTCCTCGCCACCTCGTCCCCCCGCAACTTTGACTACCTCAGGTCGCTCGGCGCCGACCAAGTCTACGATTACAAGTCGCCCACCGTCTCCGAGGATATCCGCGAGGCGACCGACGACGAGCTCACGCTGGCGTGGGATTGCCAGTCGACCGACGAGAGCGTCGTCTTGGTGGCGAAGGCGCTGAGCAGCGCGAGGGGAGGTGTCATTGGGACGCTGCTGCCTGTTGATAAAAAGGTCGTCAAGGAGGTGAATGACAAGGTGGAGGTGAAGATGAGTTTGTATTATACTGTTTTCGGGGAGGAGTTTGGATACTTTGGTGAGGCTTCCCCTTTCTGTCACCCCCCTTTCCTGTTTCTGGTCCTTGTCATGGGATATTATCTTCCTCTCTTCTGATTCCTCCCCCACCTAAAGACTAACGGCACCGTCATCTTACAGGCAAGAGGGACCCCGTACCGGAAAACTACGAATTCGGCAAAAAGTTTTGGGAAATCAGTCGCGGGTTGCTGGCCGAGGGCAAGCTGAAGCCCATCCGCGTCGTCAAGAACCAAGGGGGCAGCGGCCTCGAGGGCGTCGTCGTCGGGTTGAAGGAGTTGAAGGAGGGCAAGGTCAGCGCCGGCAAGCTCGTCTACACCATTTAAGAACTCGGGTAGCGATGTTTCCCTGTTCTTGTGTAGATGAAGATTTTCGGTATCAACTCAGTCTGCGTGGACGATGACCATGATGAGAAGAACATTACGTGTATTTCTCAAACAGTACTGCCTCCCTTGAGCCTTCTCCTGGAAATCGCCTGGGACCATCTTCCTACGCCCTGCTTCTCCTGCTGAAAAGCGAACTCGCAACAAATCATGTGGTATCTAAAAGCACTTCCTTACCCAAATAAACGCCAGACCCTCCCCATCCTCCTCGCCGTCTTTTCCAATATCAGAGACGGGTGGGGCGCCAACTACATCTTGGCCCTCCCAACCTTTTGCGCAACCTCGTCAAGCACCTTCTGCACCATATCACGATGCGCCCCCTCCATCTGCCCCTTGACGAGCGGCATCAGCATCCGACTCGTCTCAACCCTCGTCGTCTCGACGAGATCGTAGTCTCCCTGCACATACCCTTCCAGTTTCCCGCCGTGCTCTCCGGGCCACCGCTCCTCCGGCCTCGGCACGACGAGCCACTCGGACCAGACCCGCACCCCGCCGGGGGCCTCGGCGCGGGACCGCAGGCCGTTGGGAATGTTCTGCAGCACGGCGGGGAAACTGATTTCTTTTTTGACGCCCGGGACCACCGTGACTTTTTCGTAGACCTTGTAGCAGGCGAGGCGGGAGCCGTCTTCGAGGAAGTGGGCGTCCGAGACGACGCTCGCGAGAGGGACGGGGACCTTTTCGTAGCGGGTTACGAGGGGTTGGTGGCGGATTACGGGGGACTGGGATTGCAGGGTTTCGATTACGGCTTCGGGGGGGAGGATGCTGGGGAGGGGGATTCGGATCGTGAGGCTGTGGTGGGCTGGCATCTTTCCTCTTTTCTTTATTGTAAATGATCTGGTGTTGGCGTCGTGGGTTCGGAGGTCCCGTTGGTTTGGTGGTGGTGGTGGTGGTGGTGGTATACACCCCGGATGTCGATGACGATGACGATGGCGGGGCCGGAGCCGTATGCGACTGGTGGTTCTCTTCCGGAGGTAACTTCGTTGAACAACTCCGTAGAACAACGGGGGCTGGTGAACCGTCGTCTGGGCGGTATTGAAGAACAATCCGAGGTGGTGACAGCAATAGGGAAAGTTGCACAAAGTGGCAATGTCGTCTGTCGTGCGCCCCAAAAGACCGATATCTCAGTCAGCTTGCTTCCCTGTCTGGTTCAGGGTCAACGGGGATTGGGGTCTTGGGTCCGCGTCTTCTTTCTTTGTCTCGAGGACGTGGGCGGAGGAGGAGGAGATAAACCTTGTCCTCTATAATGAACCACGTTTCCTTCCGAGGAACAGTCAATAGAGAGGAGAGGTAAGGTAAGGATTCAAGGGATAGATGATTAGTCGTGCAAAAGGTATGGAAGGGGGCGCGAGCGGCCAGGACGTCTTTTGTTTCGTCTGATGGTCTGTTCCCACACGGGGTGGGCGGTTGGTTGTCCCGACTTTCCCACCACGGACATGGACAGTCAGGAGGAAAAAGAGGGATGGATGGATGGTTGGATGGATGCACTAGCATCTGATGCCGAAGTTTTGTCCGTGTGTGGACTTTTGAGAAAGGTTGAAGCAAACAGGCAAACAAACTCCTCCAAAGAGGAAACGACGTCACCCGAAGGATTGGAACCACTGGGGAGCTTAGCAAACACGGGTGACAACCTTGCCGAGTCTAGCGAGTTAGTGCAGGGAATAGTAGTATAGCACAGCTCAGAAATGCTCCAAGGATCGGCTGGTAATGGGCCTATTGGCCAGCAGAGAGGTTCGCGTGAGATTTTGAGGCTTGTCTGAGCCTGCTGACGGTCGTAGCAAATGGTCAGGTAAGCATAACTATCCGTATCCGTAGTCGTAGCTGGATGGCGTAGACAAGGAGCCAACTCTTGTAGGGCTGGAATGTTTTTTTTTTTTCTGCTGCGGTTTTGATACCAATGGCACTCCGATGTTGAAGGATGGGAGAAGCTGAAACGAGTGGTGATACTATTATTAACCCCTGGCGAAGGAGCCACTGCCTCGGACTGAGTTGCTTGTATCCTTACGTTTGTGAGAGCTCCAGTTGAGGCGCGACCCCCTGGACCCTGAATACCTCGGATAAGCCTTCGGCGACTGTGGCTGATGCTCCATGAGCACCGATAACTCTCCGAATGTGGGGCGGTGCATCGGCCTCATCACAACGAGGTTGATCGTCTGCAACTTGCAAGCGCAATCGCAAACGTAGGGTGATCAGAAATCACCCAGAAGAACTCATCATGCCTAACTATGATGAGTTTGTGATGGAACCCTTCTACTTTCCTGAGTTTCTTCAGGCTGACGACCAAGATGAGGTCGCCGAAAATCGAGGCGCTTACCGCAATACGACAAATTGGTGTCTATTTGGTGAGATCGTGAGAATCGAGCTCTTTACCCGCGTAGTCCTCTTCTGCCGCGACAAACGCGACTTTGCGTTCCTCGTCGCTTTCTATCCAGATGGAAATGCGCAGGTCGATCCTCGCCCATACAAGATTGGGCATACTGTTGCAGTCTTGAATACCACTACCAAGAGATTCTTGGATGGAAGGGAGGGAGTTCGCGTGGAGAAGCTGGAAACTTGTCGGGTCAGTCCTGCTTTCTCACTCATCATCTCAACCAATGATGGCTTATTGACGAACATGGTACCTTAGGCCTTTCCCTTGAAACTGGCAGACCTTTACCAGATGAACACAGAGCTTGTCAAGTACACTGGAGGAATTGACGAGCAAAGTGGCACTCGGCCGTGTCAGGCCTGTGGCAAGGAAGCACAGGAGCGCAAGAAGTGTGGCGGCTGTGGTTACTACTACTATTGTGATACGGTACGTTACTGTCGACGTGCGATTTTGAACGTAAATGCTGACGAGCTGCAGGCGTGCCAAAAGAAGGCCTGGGAGGGCAAGAACCACAAGAAGGAATGCAAGGTCCTCAAGAATCCCAATATGAGAATGCTGCTGAATCTCAAAGCCGCCACCCAAGCTCTCCGATTCACAGATTGATCTCGAAATGGGAGTCTAGGGTAGGGCAACAAGGGACCGTCAACCTCATCCTCGTTGATTGCAACTGAGGCGATTCCCCGACAGGTGCCGAATGGTCCTCTTTCCTAGAGTACGATTTCCTTTGGTTGCCTCTGAGTCAACGTCACGCGACCTTAGACATGGCCGAAGACGTACATGCGGCCTTATCGAGCTTCCATGGGTAGCTATTGATGCAGGTTCTCGGCTTCGCTTGATCGAGTTGCACCCGAGGGCTTATCTGTAGTTGATGCTCCGCTGAATGCTGGTATGGCCAAAGACAAACCAGTGAGCGTGAACCTAGAAAGTGTTTTGCCAACGAGACTCGTCAAGCAAAGTGTTGGTTTCATGGTATTACTTTGAAAAAGCATATCGCACCGCAAGCGCAATTCAGCCGATGACTCAGTAGCCATCACCGAGAAAGACAAATTGCCTCCTGGGAATCACACTCCAAGTCTTGATTCCGAAAACGTTGACAGGGTTCTAAAGCAGAACGAGTTGAATCTGCAGCTAACCAAGTCAGTAATATTGCATTCTGCTGCGCTGTCTTCTCCATCGACCCATAGTTTCAACCTGACCAAAGACCATGGATGACGGCCGTCGTCGCGGTGGCCAACTGTGGCCAGCTCAGGTCTGACCGCCAGAAGAAGCCGCGAGATGCTCGTAGTCCGTCCGGAAAGAATTGGTCTACACCGTCTGACACCTGCGTGTCAATTAATCGATGCTGCAGAATAAGCCGGCAGGCAGGTTGTGAGGGAGAGGCAGTATTTTTGTTGTTTTAATGCCTGACGCCGTTCCTCAAGAAGTCTCCATTGTGCTTTAGTATCGTGACACAAGCGCATTATTTCCTCTGGGTCTCTACCTGAGTTACGCCAGGTACCCCAAACTGACACATTCCTTGTTTAGTGTTGAGGCTGTCTTGTTCGCCTTGGACTCTTCTGTCATTGAGACTGACAACGAAGACAGACGATAGAAATCTGCGGCATCCCGAAAGGTCCAGGGCCTACGGGTAGCCGTAGAGATGATAATTCAGCGTGGCTGGTTGGTGCGAAGTTCGCTCAGAGGTGGGTTGAGAAGTTGAAGCGGTGAGGGAGCCGCCATACCGCTTTTGGCGACACTCGTGGGATGAGTGGATAGAGATGCGCCATGCGATGATGGAGGTGGGACGCGTGTAGACAAAATGATCCAGTAGACAGATGAAGTCGCATCTCCTCAGACAGGGCCAGACTTGGGATGTGCATGAAGGGCATGTTAGCTCCCGATGCGCAGTGCAGCGCCGCAGGCCAGTGGCCCTGCGAGCACACCCGTCGAGATGCAAGCTGCTGGCGGCCCTGGCGCTGGTTCGACGATGACTGGACGCTCATCGGCCATCGTACAGATGGCAGATGGGGTCCTCGTGTATTTGAAAGGTACGAGTACCAGGCCTAGGAGAGGTCATTCCATGCTAATAGGCGCATGGCTGCCCAGCCGGTGATGTATCGATACCTCACGGCCTGGTGCTTCGCTGCATCGATGCTAGAGCGTAGCAGGCTGGCCGAGCCGTTGTCCGCATGGCAACGCAACGTCTCGTCGACTGAAGGCGGCTTCTCCCTTTTCTTCCCTGACTTTGGGTTCGTCCCGCTTCCGTCACGACGGTCCTAAGTCTAGACAGGAGGGAAGGGTCTGAATGTGGTAAGTTGGCGTAGGAACCGAATGACGATGGACATGGCGACATGGTGTTGCCGCTTTTTCTTCTCTCCCCCGCGAGCTTGATGCGCCTGCATTCCATGCGTTGCCATTCAGATGCAGATGCGTAGGCCGCGCCTGCCTGTCATGAATAAATTCAATGGCATGGCTGCACGCCCTCTCTTCAATGCCCAATCCCGTTTGCCGCAGGCCGTGGGAAATGGGTAAGGGAGTCGAGTCTCAATAGTCCCCTTGCTTGGCGGGGTTGGTGTTAATTTGAAGGTACATGGGTAACCGCGGACGAGTGGATGGAGGACCATGTACCTCCGCGATTGAGCGGTTTAGGCGATGAACCTCCGACCATCATCCAGGCCGTATGGATGCGAGAAATCGAGCAAGAAGCAAGGTAGACTGGTGCAGAGAGAGGCAAATGCGAGGAAAGACGAGGGAGCCCGGGTCTTACCGGATAAGGGCTTTTCTGACGGGAATTGTGATAGACAGGGATATTGAGCAGTTCAAGACTTGAGTATTGGTTGTGATAGTCAAGCTGAAAGAGATTTTCCTATGCGTTGGGGCGGTGGGTGGTGTTGAAGTTGTGTGGTTGACAGCAGCGCGTCATCATGAATAACATGGAAGACCGCAGCTTCGAGAAGGAAACTAGCATGTGGCAGCAGCGAAGACCCAAGCGGGAAAGGCTGGTGGTGGTGAGTTTTCCGTAGCAGGGAATAGGGATCAAGAGAGCCAACGCAGGTTTGTGTAGGGTCCTTGGATCCTGCTAGTCAAGGAACCCGAGTCCAGAAAGAATTGTTCAATACCTACTACCAAGATATTTTGTCAACCTCGAGACCACCGGTCAGGTATTATTATTGTCTTATTCCAGCGCTAGAAAGGTGCTTGCTCCATAGATACCTTAGATACTTGCGCTTGCCTGTGCTAAGATTGAGATGCAATTCTACGGAGACACACCGAAAAAGCCAAGAGCTCTTACTACAGTAGATAAGCAGGTACCTTGGAGAAAGAGGCAGAGTGACGGCATCAGGAAGGGAAGGCAGTAATAGCCTGTGAGGTAAGGTAAGGGAAGGAAGTAGAAGGTATCGATGTATCACACGTGAGAACGCAGCTGGTGGCGGCAAGGGCGTTTTACCTCAGAGCCGGTGCCTTTTCTACGGTTACCTTATGGAATACTGTGTAGGTACCTATAGGCTACGGTTCTTCCCCCCTCATTATCCAAATCCCTTCCTTGGGTATCCGTACCTTACTTTTCAATTTTTGTCCGCCCCGGTTCCGCTGCTTGTTCAACGTGGAATGGAAACGATACCTACACACCTGATATCCAGGACCTGCTGACCTCGTGGTTACCTAAACATTCTAGAGTCCGCCCTCGTGGCTCCCGCAGCGCGTACTAAGACCAAGAGTCCATGTACTCCGTCAGAGTGTGCTGCCCAAATGCCCACTTGAAGCGGACGGCATCCTGGAGAAATGGCATCACCTGGGCGGCAGGCTGAAGAGGAGGGAGGGGCGAAGGTGGTGTGAATTGAGTCAAACGACTCCGGCGTGCAGGGGGTGCCATCTTTCTGAGTCTCGAGACACTTGATATCACACTAACTCGGCCAATGAAGCGCCGAGGCCGCCCTTCTTAACCGACCACCCTGCCAGGGATCACCACCTTTTTGCAGACTCCAAGAGCGAGGTACTTTGCAGTTGTACTGTCACAGTCTGCTTAGTGCGTGGGTTGCTGCGCTTTTGCCGTGGCACCTCCTCCTCCTTCTGGGCTAAGCACCCAAGGTACCCATCATGGGCCATGCCGTTGCTCGGGATCTATCGCCATGTACATCACACATACACGTACACGAACACACGCACACACACACACACACACACACACGGTCCACGGAGCGGGCCAGGGGAAGAAAAGGCGGCGAGCAAATGGGGGCGGGAACAGCGACAGCACCCAGACAGACGGAGGAGACGGAGGAGCAACCACGGGGAGACTGAGACTGGACGCGATGAAAGATGCGTGTGGATTGGTCCTGATAGGATGGTTTTGATGGATGATGGATGGGACATGGCTGGGCGGATGGATCGCATAGACTTGCATACAGCATCAATATCCATAATTATTCTTTCCGTCCTGCCTTACCTTTTACCTCGCTTTACCTTTACCTCACATAAGGCACGAAGTATGGAGTACTGACTCTGTCTCTCGCTGTCTGCAGACTCACCTTATTATTTTGCCCTTGTATTCCTCATTTGGATTGTTGACTCCCGTCTTGCATTAGTTCTTGTGTACACCTTTCCTGTATACAAGGCGGTCGCCGCCGCTCATGTTTCTCCCATCTGTTTCTGCTATTCTTGCGTCGTCCTCTGTTGCACGACAGGCCGAAACTTCTGACCAATTTCGCGGAAGAAGAGACCAGAAGGACAAATCGCTCTCGGTGGAAGAAGGCGTACATCAAGGTAACATATTGTAAACTAATTGCAGGGTAGGCAAGCGGGCTATTCATTCACAACAAACACATCCCGTTCAGTCAATTCCCTCAACGTCTGGCTGGCCGGGCCCGGGCTCGACAATAGGACGACGGCGTCTTACTCACACCACCGTCCGAATCGCATCTCCGAACAAGTACGGAATACTTTTGCTCAGCTCACGAGTCGGACCCAAACAAAGCACGACCTCAAGGGCATCACCAATCCCAAGTGCAGGCTGTGGCCTACGCTGCCTGCCTCCTGCAAGATATCTGGCGGTCTGCAACCACATCCATCCACCTATTCGCCTCCGCCGCGACGATCTAGCGTCAACGCGCGCCGACCCATTGGCTCCCTGTGAAGGAAGTGGCTTGTAAGAAATGATTTTTTTTCTGTAACTCTCCTCTCCTTTTTTGCCGGGTCACATCCAGCGCTCCTATTGCTCCTTTCTTGCATATGGCCAATTCAACCTCACCTCCTCCAGAGGGAGTCATCTTCTTAAAAAAAGGGGCGATAGGAACGGCTTGGAAGCCGTGGTTAAACACAATCAAGAAACTGGCGGGTTGACCTCTCTCTCTTAGGACAGCTTCAATCCAAGTCTATTTCCCCGGCGATCAGACGCGACGGCGGCGACTTTCTCAAGCTGTAAGCCTGTGACACCAAGAGCTACATCCCTGCTATCGCTTCGACTTGGCCCGTTATCGTCCAATTCTCCGGCAATTCTGAGCAGGGGACCAGGAACATACCTGTAGCCAAAGGCGGGAGAAAAAAGAAGAACAAGAAGAGACAGGCGAGTGTATTTCCTCCTCCCTGCCCTGCCATATCTTATCCATCCGCTGGTCCCCTCTTCTTCCCTGCCCCCAATTCACCTAACCCTTCACCACCCCCAGATCCTAGGTCCCTTGCGCCGCCGCGTACCGCAAAAGTGCTCCGTCTCTTTTGCGGCCACCCGAGCCGACCATCCCACCACCCAGCCTGCGCAGTTACATCTCCCACCATAGTAGCAGTCACTGGAGGTTTTTTCTTTTCTTTTCTTCCTTACTGACTTGCACCACCTGTCTCAGTTCGCCTCGGTCGTACGAATACACAGTCTGGAGATTTATATCTGCAGGCGAACTCCTGTCACGTCCTGTCCAACTCTCGTTTCATCGACCTGCCCCCTCCTCTCGCCAGCACGAACCCGCTTGCTTTCCCGCTACACTGCGTACAACGACTGCTACGATTACGACGACCACGACGAAAACCACGAGCTGTACACCGATATACCCTCTTCAGCTGCTTCGCTCCTCCGAACCGATTTAGCTTCCATGATTCTCACACCAAGCTGTAGCAACACGAGCTCAACTTCTCAACATGGCGGCGGTCGCGGTGGCCACATTTTTCCCATCAGGGCGGGCAGAAGGCGCATATCGATGGGAGCCAACCCAGCATTCGACGACAACTGGCTGGGCTGAGGAAGATGTGCGCATCCGCTTGCGCATGATCGCCCGCGCCTGGGAATCCGCTTCACACAATGCTCAGGTACGACCCGAACCTTTTTCGTCTACCGTCATGGTTTTCTCCAATTCCTGTCTACTCTGGAATTTTGTGCGCGCCGGCGCCGTTCCAGCCTGGACGCCTCAGCGCTCGTCCCCAAGTCTAACGGCTTACCGTTCGCTGCCATGGCTGGTCCGGAAAGCCTTTGGACGGGAGTCGGGGGGACGTGAGGGGCATGACGCCGTCTCACCCCCCATTCCACTAACACATGCCTTTCAGATGAACTTCTGAGCTAATCTGATCCGCTGGCATCCCTAGATTTCATCCCATCATCGACGACCCCTCAAAACCACATGCAACATCTCAACTCCGTTGAAAACACCAGAATGCGGCCCGCGATGGTTGCGACGATTTGAAGCGCCCTCTGAACCGTCCGAGCCATGCGAGCAAGTCATGGATCCGACGAACACTGGCGGTTTTGCAAGTCGACGACCATCAGACTTTTCCTTCTTCACCCAACCGCAAACTTCAAGTGCAGAACACCGACAGCGACGTAACGGCGACGCCATATTTAGCGATCCCACACGCGACTTTCTCATCGACTTCGGTTCCGAGGAAGGATTCATGCAAGCGGCGAAGAAGAAGAATAAGAAGGCCCCAGCCAAGGCGCCGGCGGCAAACAACAATAACGATGACGATGGCGCGAAGAAGGAAGACGAAGGCGCCGGCGATGGAGGTGATCAAGGCGGTGACGCAGGTAACGACGGCGGAGCTGCGGGCGACGGCGATGGAGGCGACAAAGAGACACCGCCACCAGCAGACGATCCGCCCCCGGAAGATGACTGGGGCTTCGCAACCACGAAATCCAAGAAGAAGGGCAAAAAGGCTGACGAACCGGCGCCTGATTCATTCGATGAAATAAAACTGGACGACATAGGCAGCGGCAACGGGTCGCTAGACATCAATTTCGGCTCAACGGAGACCAAGAAGTCAGGGGGGGTTGGTTGGGGATTGGGAGCGTCAAATTGGACAACAACAGGCACGGGACTAGGGAACACATGGGATTGGTCTGGCGCTAACAAGAATGCAGCCACAAGTACGCCGGCAGAGGCAAAGGAAGACGCCGATTCAAATCCATGGGGCTCCAAAAGCAAAACGAAGAAGAAAAGCACGACACTGGGGTTTTCGTTCGGCGACGATACACCAGCTGACCCGGAACCGGCACCCGACCCGCCGCAGGAGAAAGAGGAGAAAGATGACCCGTGGGGTTTCGGCACTGCGACTACAAAGAAAGACAAGAAGAAGAAGAAAGCCAGTATCTGGGATGCGGTGGAAGAAGATAAGGCTCCTGAACCAGCCAAGGAGGAGACACCTGCAGACGACCCATGGGGTTCGTGGGGCGGTACCACCAAGAAGGGGAAGAAGGACGACCCTCCCAAAGAGGAGCCGAAAGACGACCTGTGGGATACCTGGGGACTTGGTAAGAAGAAGAAGAACAAGGACGAGCCGGCCCCTGAACCAATCCCTGAGCCGGCGCCCGATCCGCCAGCCTCTAACGAGGATCCTTGGAGTTGGGGAACATCATCGGGGAAGAAGAAGAAGAAAGGTCTAGTCGAACTTGAACCTGAACCTCCCCCGGTGGTAGAACCAGAGCCGGAACCCACCCCGCCGCCAGAACCCGAGCCAGAGCCCGTTGATCCTTTCGCAGGCTTGACCAATTCACAGAAGAAGAAAAAGAAGAAGGAGATGGCTGCCGCCGCCGCTGCTGCCGAGGCCGAAGCTGCTAAAGCCGCCGAGGCCGCCGCCGCCGCCGAAGCGGAAGAGGCTGCCCGAAAGGAAGAGGAGGAACGACTAGCAAAAGAGGCCGAAGAGCAAGCCGCCAAAGAAGCAGCAGAAGCCGAAGAGGCGGCGAAAGCAGCGGAAGCCGCCAAAGCAGCAGCTACGGACGACTTTGGATGGGGTGTATCAACTAAAACCAGCAAGAAGAAGAAGAAGGGCAAAGCTGAACCAGAGCCCGAACCGGTTCCTCCTCCACCCCCTCCAGCCCCTGAACCAGAGCCTGAGCCAGAGAAAAAGGACGACCCATGGGGCTTTGGTACCGTGACATCCAAAAAGGACAAGAAAAAGAAGAAGGGCCTTCTTGCCGAACCTGAACCTCCCAAGGAACCGGAACCTGAACCCGAGCCGGAGCCAGTACCGGAGCCAGAGCCTGAACCGGAGAAGCCAGCAGAAGATGACTTTTGGGCCACTTTGACAGGATCCAAAAAGGACAAGAAGAAGAAGAAGAGCAAGACTGCCGATCCCGAGCCGGAACCCATTCCTGAACCTGCGCCCGAGCCTCCTGCTGCTGATCCAGAGCCAGAACCACCAGCGGACGACGACTGGGCAAGCTTCGGCCTTTCCAAGAAGGACAAAAAGAAGAAGAAGGGCAAATTGGCGGACCCCGAACCCGAACCCGAGATTGTACCAGAACCGGCGCCTGATCCCCCAGCCGAGGAAGCGGAGCCGGAACCTGAAAAGAAGGATGACGACGACTTCTGGGCCGCTGCTACTAGTTCGAAGAAGGACAAAAAGAAGAAGAAGGAGGCCGAAGCTGAAAAGTCCAAAGACGACTCTTGGGGCATCTGGGGCCTTTCCTCCAAGAAAGACAAGGAGAAGGAGAAGGAGAAGGAGAAGGACAAAGACAAGGAGAAGGAAAAGAAGAAGAAAAGCAAGGAGGCCGACAAGGAAGCCGAGGAACCGAAGGCTGAAGTGGTCGAAGAGGATGAATGGGCCGGCTTGAGCAAGTCGGACAAGAAGAAGAAGAAGAAAGATGCCATGGCCTTGGTTGAGTTTGGCGGAGAGGACGAGCCTACCCCTGCCGAGGAAGCCCCTCCTGCCGTGCCAGATATTGCCGACCCCCTGGATGGCGGCGGCTTCTTCAGCTCATGGAACATCGGCGGTAAGAAAGACAAGAAGAAAAAGGGAGCCGACACCGACGAAGGTGCTTCTATGAAGCCCGATGCAATCGAGGAGCCCACAGATGACATCTGGGGAACCTCGTCCTCCAAGAAGAAGAAGGATAAATCCAAGAACGAGCCCATTGAAGTCGTGGACGAGGAGCCCAACGTGGATTCCGTACAACCGGATTCCGTCGAGGAGACCAAAGACGACGATGACTGGGCCGGCTGGGGATCCTCCAAGAAGAAGTCTAAGAACCGTAAGGACATACTCGCCGACCCTCCACCGGAAGCTCCCACCCCTCCCTCATTGGACATGGCTGAGCCTGTAGCAGAAGCAGAACCTGAGAAAGAGAAATCCAGCTTTTGGGGCGACATGACCTCTTCCAAGTCTAAGTCCAAGGATAAGGATAAAGATAAGGAAAAGGAGAAGTCCAAGAAAGAGCCCAAGCTGAGCGAGAAGGAGCTCAAGAAGCTCGAGAAAGAAAAGAAGAAGGCTGAAAAGGAAGAGGCAGCGCGGTTAGCCAAAGAGGAAGAGGAGGCTGCCGCCGCCGCTGCTGAGGCCGCTGCCAAGGAAGAGGAAGAACGCCTTGCACAAGAAGCAGAGGAGGCCGCGGCAGCGGAGGCGGCTGAGGCGGCCGAGAAGGCACGAATCGAGGAAGAGGAGGCTGCAAAGATTGCGGACGAGGAGGAGCAGTTCGCTGCCTTGGAGGCCAAGAAGCTCAAGAAGGGCAAGTTGACCAAGAAGGACCAGGGTGTTTACGACACGCTCAAGGCATCGATCGACGAGCGCGCTGCCGCATCCCAAGCTGCTGCGGATGCCGAAGCCGCCGCCGCCGCCGAAGCTGAAGAAGCCGCTCGCATCGAAGAGGAAGAGCGACTCGCCAAGGAAGCCGAAGAAGCTGCTGCCAAGGAAGCTGAGGAGGAAGCTGAAGCAGCAGAGAAGAAAGCGAAGAAAAGCTCCAAGTCGGAGAAGGAGTCCAAGTCCAAGTCGAAGAAAGACAAGGAGAAAGAAAAGGAGAAAGAGAAGGAGAAAGAGAAAGAGAAGGAAAAGAAGGAGAAGAAGGACAAGAAGGACAAGAAAAGCAAGGACAAGGAGAAGGAGAAGGAAGAGGAGCCGGAGCCGGCACCAGTCGAGGACGTCGATAATGAGGACGAGCTGGCCGACATTGAGCTGACCGAGGACCAAATCGAGGAGCTCCTGGCCGATCCCGAGCCTGAGGAAGCTGCTCCTCCTCCACCACCCCCGGCGCCGGAAGTAAAGCCATCCAACGATGCCTTCAGTTTCTGGGGCGTTGGCACTAAGAAGTCAAAGAAAGGTATGTGGCCTCAGGCTCGCAGCTAATCTCCCTTCACACCACCACACCACCAAGTCTCACCAAGCCTATTGGAAATGAGACGCCTCAATAGGCGTCACCTGAGATTACACTGCTGACTCATCTCCGCATAGGTCTAGAAGGTGCGAATCTCGGTTGGAATGACACGACTACATCATCCGCCACAAACAACGATGCCCTGTCCTGGATGCAGCCGTCTACGGCTCGAAAGGGCAAAGGAAGCAAGATTACTGACAGATTAAAAGCGTTTGAACCAATCCCGCCGCCAGAAGACGAACCTGAGCCCGTTGTAGAGGAACCTGTTCCCGAGGAGCCAGCACCAGAAGAGCCGGTCCTGGAGGACCCTCCACCCGAGGAACCGGAACCCGCACCACCAACTCCTCCCCCCGTCGTCTTGTCGAAGGAAGAGAGAAAGCGACTGAAGAAGGAGAAGAAGCGCGCTGCCGAAGCTGCATCCGCGCCTCCGCCGCCACCGCCTCCTCCTGTTGTCGAGGAGCCACCGTTAGTCGACGTTGAAGAACCAGCTGACGAGAACAAGTCTTCGGAGCCGCCTGGAGCTTTCCCCGTCGAAGAGGATGAGAACGAGATCATCGAAGTGATTGAAATGCCAGTGGAGAAGAAGAAAAAGAAGAGTAAGAAGAACAGAGATAGGGACATACTCGCCGAGGAAGTCCCTCCTCCACCAGCTCCACCACCGCCTCCGGCCGTCCCTGAGGCTCCTGAAGATCCTGTGCCTGAGGAAGAACTAGCCGCCGAGGAAGAGCCCATCTCACCTCCGCCTGAGCCGAAGTCGAGCAAGAAGGACCGGGCAAAAATCAACCGAGAAGGTTCCTCGTGGGGTATGTGGTCGGCTTCACCTCGCGAGAAGGAGAGAGACCGTGATCGTGATCGCGACCGCGAACGTGATCGTGACCGCGACAGAGACCGGAAACCCAAGTCAAAAGCCGAAAGACGCGAAAAGAAACACGCTTACGGCGACGAGGAAAAAGTCAAGACTTCCTCCAAGGGTTCAAGCTCCGGCAAGGGCGACCGTGCCGATAGAGACGTTGAGACACCAGCACGGCCGAAACTCATGTCGATGTTCAGCACCCCGCCCATTTCCCGGACGACATCCACCCGGGACCGGCGACACAGACCGTCCCGTCGTCATTCAGTCGACGCGAGCGGGTTGGTGTCGCCACCTCCCGAGGAAGCCCCTCCACCTCCCATGTCCTCCAAAGCCGCCAAAGTGCTTGGAGTCGACAAGTCCAGCAGCAGGCGCCGCAAGCGCGATCATATTGTGGACGAAGACATTGTCATGGTCGGCGCCAATGGTGACGGCGAGGACGGCAGCCCTCCCAAGTCATCACGTCGACGATCTAGATATGCTAAAGACGATGACCTTGTCATGGTGGACCCCGATGGCCCTTCCGAGCCACCACCGATGAAACGATCCAGCTCGAGTGCGAAGAAGGGTCTAGGAGGCCTCTTCAGTGGCCTCAGAACACCCAAAACGGAGCGTCCGGACCCGTTGCGAAGGCGACACACCTATGCGACCGATGATGACACCAGGCGCGAACGCCGTCAACGATCCCATGCCGATGCAGACGAAGCCGACCCCGCAGCGATGACCGACATGGACCAAGAGGCGCGCCGCGCTGCTCGCCGTGCTCGTCGCGCAGCCAGAAATGCTGAGGCGGCCGAGGCCGAGGTCGTCGAGCCGGATCCCGAAGAGGCACGCCGCGCCGCCAAAGAAGAGGCTCGGCGCGAGCGCCACCGTAGGAGAGACGAAGAGGATGCCGAAGCGCGCAAGCAGCAGGAGAAAGAGCTCAGACGTGCAGAGCGGCGCGCGGCTCGCTCTCGCGGGCACCGGGACCAACGCGAGGAAGAGGAACGGAGAATGGCCGAAGATAGGGAGGCTGAGCGTGCCGAACGGCGAAGAGCACGGAAGCAGCGCGAGGCCGCCGCGGCAGCGGAGGCTGACGCAGATGCTAGACGCGCAGCTCGGGAAGAACGCCGACGAGCCCGCGAGGCTCGCGATCGCGAAGCGGCGCCGCCGCCGCCGCCGATGGACGAAGAAGAAGCCCGCAGAGCCAGGAAGGAAGCCAGGCGTGCTGCGCGTGCCGCGGCCGAAGGCACCGACGCGGAAGAGATGTATCACCACCGCTCCAGCCGGCGAACCCGGGAGTCCGGGGACGAAGGCATGCACTCCTCGCGACACCGGTACAGACGCAACGAGGAGTCCAAGCCGGCGTGGCCCCACTCCGGAACGTCATCGTGGGTCAAGGAGCACACCGACGCCGGCCCGCCTCCGGACGATGGCGGACAACAGACGGACGCCGTGCCCCAGACCGAAGATGAGGCACGTCGTGAGCGGCGCGAGCGCCGTCGCAGGGCCAGGTACGAGGACGGCACTGCCGACGAGGCCGATGATCGCCGCCGCAGAGCCCGGCGCGAAGAGCGTGAGCGTCGGACGTACGGCGGTAGCGGGGGTGCCGGAGGCGGCGGCGGCTCCGAGGGGAGCGACGAGCGGCGTCGGCAGGCCATGTTTTCCGATGCGACGGCTACGCCGCGGAGTAGCTGGTGGAGAAAGCTGACCGGTTGAAGAGACACGCACGACACACACAAAGAGAGAAGAGAGAGATAGGGCGAAAACTACGACAAAATGATGTGTATGAATGGATGTCAGCGAAGCGTTGTGCAATTTTCTTATTTTTCTCTCTTCCAACCCCCTTTTGTCGGATGGGAACACCACGTATGTTTTGATTCTTGTTTGAGAAAATGTTGTTTTGCTATATGACAGAAAAACCATCTACGATATGTTTGACATATACCCCCCTACCAAATACGCATACTAAATTTTTTTGCTGCAATCCTATGTTACTGAAGGGAACGTTGGAAATAGTTCATTAGTATTGTTTCCATGTAAAGGCATCGCCTCCAGGCGGCCACGGAGAGAGATATCTGGGACACGAGCACGAATAGCATGGGCGTAGGTAGCATAGCATAGCACACACATACATATATATACATCTTTTGAGCACCATGAAAGTATGAAACTGAGGAATGAACGTTGAGAATGCATCAAGAACCCATGTCTCTCTCTACTTTGCTCCAAGCCAGCGCGTACAAACCATCCCCCAAGAGATCGTGATACCTTCCCTTACACCCGGCACCGACCGAACCCTGGAAGCGGGCATCACAAAGCACCCCAATCTACAACGCGGAGGCGGGCATACATCCGTGCAAAAGACATCGACCTCGACCAAACTGTACGCGTCTGTTCGCCGGGAGCCAAAGATGCCCCTCCCGAGATGCACGGAAGATCGGGCCTTCTGTCATAGCGTCGGAAGCAAGACCAAAATAAGCCAGCGGCAAAACGGGAAAAAACGGTGAGAACACTAACTCTCTGCACTCTTTCTGGTGCTTACGTACAATCATCGGGAGGCCTCCTGGGTTGTTATACGGAACTAGGCATTACTATATGGTACTATGGAGTATGGTAGATGTAGGGTATATGCGGGCGCCCAATGGCTCACCCACGGCCCGCACGTGAGCGTGGAAACGCAACCAGGCTTTTTGGGCGTGTGCTTAGAGGCAAGGGGGCAAGTGTCTTTCTCTAGATCGGACATCAAATCGAACAAGGAAGGAAAAGAACAAACTGGTTGCTCAGCGCAACCCAGTCAACTTCAGCAGATCATGTTGATGGAAGTAAGCGCGGATGCGTTTGCCATAGAAATCTACAAGTAATTAGCTCTCTGTTTCGTACGGCGTGACTGATCGGCGACTTACACATTGGTATACTCGTGGCACAAACAACAACCTGAATACTGGCAATGGCCATCATTGTAGGCTTGATACCACCCCCGATGATCCAATCATAGGCACTGAATGTAAGACCAAAGCTGAAGATGTTCTTGAAAATGATCATGATAGTGAAGCCTTCGATGGCCAGGTCGCGGTAGGCATCGACGATGTATAGAGAGCTGGCCACAGCCCCGATGACCATACCAGCAACCTCGAAGCCGAAGAATACGAGCGGGATGCTGTAGTGGTATTCCTTGGTTGAAAGCCCAGCAGATGTGACGCCGAACCCGTAGAGGCCAATAGAACCAATAATGAACATGGGCAGAACCATGACAATACGGAATTCGGGTTCGTAGATGCCATTGTTGCGACGAGTCAAGAACTTGGCACTCCAGTCGGAGAAAGCGCCAGCAATGATGAAGCCAACGAGCGCTCCCACGAAAGCACCAACGTAGGCGTATCCAGCGTATACCTCGTTCCAGTAGTAAGGAGGCCCCAGGAAGAGGGCAGCAACAATGACACCGATGAAGACTGTCCAACCAATCATGGTGCCTTGAATCAGACATCCCCATAGAAAGGCGGGCTGGGCGATGAGCGGGAACGGGCGAAGAAGCAGTTTCCAGTAGTGCTCGTCCGTCTTGCGACCATCAAACAAAGCCAGCGATTGAATAAATGTCTTCTTCGGAGTTTGAGCTCCCGCTCCTCGGACAGCCTCCAGGCCTGATCCATAGGGCGCTGACGTAGGGTTCAGCTTCTCGTGGTCGCTGGACCTGCTGCCCGGGCCGCCAACATAAGATGCCTTGTTGTCAGTGAGTTCGATAGAGTCAGCAACCATATCCGTGTTGAGCGCAATGTCCCGACGGTAGGCTGTCTCAGGGCAAAGGAAGAAGACGGCAGGAAGGCACACGGCACAAAAGATGGCCTCCAAGTAAAACGTCCACCACCACCCAATGCTGTGAGTGATCTTGCCAACAACAATGGGCGTGAAGAAGGCGCCGCCAAACACTGCCAAGTTCGTAAAGGCCATGCGGGAGCCGCGCTGGTGTACAAAGTACAGATCACCGACGGCGGCATTTACGAGTGTCTCGAAGGGAGTACAGCCGATACCTTGGACAATGCGCGCACCAAGTAGCGAGTTGTAGCTCGTGCCAACAGAGCCCGCCCACGCAGAAGAGGCAACGAGGATGCATATTCCGAGAATGAAGAGATGGCGCTTGCCCCA